AAGCGTCTCCAAGTCGTTGTAGAAGAATTATTTTCCACACCCCCGCCCCAAACTCTCTCACAGGCGGGATGTGATGAGCCTCTCACTGCTCTCTTGCCATGGAAAGTGCTCATGCAAACTATATTGCTTGGTTTCGCCAGGTTTAACCTTCACGGCTAGAACCCACCATGCCACTTACATAGTAGCAAACCACCCGCATTCCCTCCGTATTCCATCGACAAGAAGTTCCACTGAAACAGCATATTCCCGCGAGCCATGGCCCGGTGGAACAGACCCTCAAGAGATTGCTCCCACGATCACTACAATCTTAACCTGTTAATGTCTAGAGTTAACCGTTATCTTCCTCTCGTGTCCCTATAAACTACACCTTACAGAGAACATTACTGTAAAAAAAAAAAAAATATGAACTTTTTCTTTCCATTTTCTTTAAAACTTGGTGGTCCAATTTTCCGTCTGATATTCTCCGCATTCTTCTATAAAACAATATCTTCGTTACGTCAAATATCCTTTTCTCGATTAGATATTACGTGGCAGTTTCGCACACTTTGTTTCTAAGCATATATCCCGTCTTAATAATGTGTTTAGTTTCTAAAAGATATCATGCGCCTTCGAATTTTATCCAATTAAATTTATCGTGATCTTTTTTTTTCATCCGACAATGCAAGGCCTTTGATCGGGAGGTTTTGAGGAGCATGGAACCACCTCTTAATTGCTGTTCCCAGCACCACGCTGACCCGGGGTGGTGTCAGCTATTAGGGTTCCAGCTATGAGCAAATAGTTGACCCACACACACACACACCAAACTGGGGTCAAAACGTGTAAAAAAACAAAAAAAAAATAAATAATTTTTTTTTTAAATAGGTTTTATAACCAGCAATGTAATTTTTGTAAAAAAATTATTACCAGCAACGAATTTTTGCATTATTACCAGCAATAGTTGTTTTGGAAAAAGATATCAGCAATACAATTTAAAAAAAAAAAGAAATATTACCAGCAATAAAAAATACTTGTCGGCATTAAATAACCCACTGAGGTTGATATGCCGTAAAACAAACCAAACAAAACCTGTCGAGATACTGTAAGCCAAAATGAAAAGTATTGTGAAACGACACAGGCGCTTATAGGCAGGCAATCCACCTGCTGTTGGCAAGCAAAGAATGACTTCCTTGGAGTTCAATATTGACCAAATATTTGCCCACTTTAGATCCCAATAGTGTTACAACGTTTATCCACATTCTATTTATTCTTCCCTGATGTTCTCAATGGTACAAATTTAATCACGAATAAGCATTTATTTATAACTGTCATCTTCTGAGCATTTCACGTATCTTAGACGTTTTTCATAGAAGGTATTTATTATTGGTTAAGTTTATTAGTGTCACATATATATATATATATATATATATATATATATATTATTAGTGTCACATATATATATATATATATATATATATTATTAGTGTCACATATATATATATTATTAGTGTCACACATATATATATATATATTATTAGTGTCACATATATATATATATATATATATATTAGTGTCACATATATATATATATATATTAGTGTATATATATATATATATATATATATATATATATATATATTATTAGTGTCACATATATATATATATATATATATATATTATTAGTGTCACATATATATATATATATATATATATATTATTAGTGTCATATATATATATATATATATATATATTATTAGTGTCACATATATATATATATATTATTAGTGTCACATATATATATATATATATTATTAGTGTCATATATATATATATATATATTAGTGTCATATATATATATATATATATATATATATATATTATTAGTGTCATATATATATATATATATATATATATTATTATATCATATATATATATATATATATATATATATATATATATATATATATTATTAGTGTCATATATATATATATATATATATATATATATATATATATATATATATATATATATATATATATATATATATATATATATTAGTGTCACATATATATATATATTATTAGTGTCACATATATATATATATATATTATTAGTGTCATATATATATATATATATATATATATATATTATTAGTGTCATATATATATATATATATATATATATATTATTAGTGTCACATATATATATATATATATATATATATATTAGTGTCACATATATATATATATATATATATATTATTAGTGTCACACATATATATATATATATATATATATTTAGTGTCACACATATATATATATATATATATATATATTATTAGTGTCACACATATATATATATATATAAACAGAAACCACCTTACTTGAGGAATTTCAACAGTAGCTCCAACGAAAATGGAGAGCGCATATAACTTGAATAGAAAATAATGACGGGAGATGTTCACATTTCGCATTACTTGAAACAAAAGTTAGGAAGGAAACCCTCGTCAATACTGGAAAGCGCGATAACATTTCCTGGGCTTGAGAAACCCATTTTCCTGAAAAATGTTTTAACAGAAAAATTTCAGAAATGTCGAACGAAAGAAGCACTGGCTGCCCACTCATCGAATGCAGAATGACTACTCATAAGAAAAATGCTAATATTACCACGTAGTATGATGTCTGGTCATAATTCAATAGATGTATCGCTCTCCTTTATCTTGTTAAGCAGTATTCTGTGAAATGTTGAAGTCTGTCGATGGACCTACGTGTGTGTGTAAACACTTATTTATTGTAATAAATCCGAATACTTTTTTTCCTTGATTTTATTGGAAAGACAATTTGTGTCACACTAATAACATCAATAGAGTATAATGAATAAATACTACATAGATTTTGGAAGAATAAATAAGAAACTCATAAGGAACTTTTCAGCTGTTACCTTCATAAATATTTAAAAGATTTTTCATCTTACTTATTATAAAACGCAGATTGTGTGTGTGTGTGTGTCTGTACGTTTATATATTGGATCGGATTTCCTACATTTTTCAACCGATTTCAACAAAACTTCACAGGACTACGTAAAATTACCTTGCAGTGGTTCTGACAGCGCCAAAACTTGGAATAACACAATTGCTTTTGCACGAAATCAATTTGAAAACACGATTAAGAGACATTAATGAAAGGGGGACAACTCATATCGAGTTATACTTATTAATATCGAGTTATACTTATTATAAAACTCAGGTTGGTAGTTTGTGTGTGTTTGTTTATATTATGGGATCGGATTTCCTACATTTTTCAACCGATTTCAACAAAACTTCACTTTTTTTGGCAGGTAGTGTTTCTTATTGTCTTGCACACTTTTTTCTTTATTTTTCCATTCAGAATGCTTAAAAATTCCATTTACAAGACAATTGTTTATAATAAAATTCTATTCAATCGGTAGACTCATGACGATTGAAAACAATGTTTTTGTTTGGGTTTGACCAATTCGTAAAAAAAAAACTAATTAAGACATGCGTGTCCGTCAACTTTAAACAATAATCTTCGTCAATTTTATTTTCCAGTCTTTATGATGGTCGATACTTGATTTATCTCTTACTGTTACATCCCCGGACAACGCCGGGTTCTACTGCTAGTTTCAAATAAAAAAGGAACATTAAATACAAAATACGATATTACAAAATATTTTTTGGTAAAATTATCTGAAATCAAAGGCAAAAATTCTGAAGTTAAAAAATAGAGTATCATTATTTTTATGTCGTAAACATTTCACCCCTTTTTCTTTTACACTTAAATTTTATTACTTTCTTTCATTTCCAATGTTTTTTCTCTCTCAAATTGTACTTGCTTTTTATATAAATATGCCTGTTTGCATGAAATCTTCACTTTATGTATTAGATTCTATTAGAAATAATATCAGATATCCATTATAGCCTTGAAACTCCTGGTTTCTCTTTTGTTTTTATATGCTAGCAAATATAAATACTTCATGGAAAGCGTCCCAGCCCTAGATAGTAATGTCTGCTGATGATGGCAGAATATATATATATATATATATATATATATAAAAATGAGATATATATACCTTTCTGTTACCATGGCGTCTATCAATCTGCTATAATCAGACAGTTTTTGTACTGTCTAGGGAAACCAATGATGCTTTCCATGAAGTATTTATATTAACAGAAAGGATATAAAACAAAAGAGAAACCAGGAGTATCAAGGCTATAATGGTTGGTGTTCTAATTATTTTATCTGAAATTGTCTTACATTTTCGTTTTTTGAAAATTTTATTGAGTATTTTTTTTATTAATTTACATCATTCTTTGGCAAGTATAACTTTTTTTTCAAAAGTTGGACCCTTTTAAAAAAAAAAAAGTGTGCGTGTATATATCCGAGACTCACTGAAATATCGGTCCCTAGCTTTTGTGTTATAAACGAACTAGCGCTTAGTGTTATTTCCAAACCTAATATAGACATACAATACAACCTTTTTTTTCTGTGTTAGGGTATCATTTAGCTTTGTCTCTACCACAGACAATGTGATCGAAACCAAAATGACGGCGTCGAAGAGAAATTGTCGTTCATATGTTTCCAGTAAGATATTTTTTTATTTTTTTACCAAAATGGACCAACCCAATCAAGCAACAATGATATAAAAGTACACCCGTGAAAGTGTTAATTATTCTTTTCTTTTATTGTATTATTTTGTTTCAAATTAAAAAAAAAAGTTCTCCAATTATACCAGAAAAGATTCTCATACAAACATTCCTTCGCTTTTGACCGAGACTACAAATGAAATATCATGCCAATTAAATTCCATTGTCCAACTAGATAATAATTTGGAAAAGTCTGTCTGTCCAATTTTATAATGTCTTAGCCATGCGCCAGATACGGGCTTTAAGATATTAAAATGAAAGGCCAGATGTAAAATTTGAGAACTGATTTCTCCATGAAATTGCAAATCATCGATTCTTGTCATATTGCTTTGCTTGAGTGGTACGGCTTTAAAATAGGATAATGAATAAGATTTTCTCTTACTCCTCTTTATTTTTTGTTCGCTGTACATCCTGCTGTCTCCTTTATTCGCATACATCCCATTTTGAGATCTACATATTTCTTTCAGAATCTGTTTTTATTAATGCGTTAGTATTGAGAGAGTAAATAAATGAAAAGGATAGAATAGCGAGACGAAGAATGATTGAAAGATAGTGAGAGATTGATAAGGAATAGGATAGTGAAAGGAAAAGAAATAACAGTGGTGCGACTGGGTTAGTATGAGAAAAAGTGAGACATTGAATGTGAAATAAAAAAAAAAGAATGAGTGATAGAATGCTACATAAAGAACTAATGGGTGAGAGAGAATGCATATTTGTAAATGTACACGTTGATTTTTCGTTTTGCGTATTTTATACAATTTATCCGCTGCACCCTGTATGTGAATATTCGAATACATCAGCACTTAGCCTGTTTTGCCAACCATTCTAAAGTACACAATTTGTAGATTACTTTGGTCAAGGTACTCGGTGCTCATTTTTCATTTAATATTTCTTCATCAGTCATCAATTGGCTGATAATAGGAAATTTATCTGCAGATTTTGTGGGCATTATTCATGCACATTAACAAAAGTTAGCAAAGAAACTTTTCGGGAAAAACATTTAAATTGTCTTGTTCGATAATTCACAGACGTATTTATGAATAATATTTGTTTCATATGCATTTCTTTATAAAGTGGTAAATAATAAATATTCCGTTGTAGTTGGTTCGCTCATTTCTTTTTTCCTTTGTTCTTTTCTTTTTTCCTTTTTTCTTTTCTTCTTTTCTTCTTTTTTCTTCTCTTTTCTTTTCTCCTCTTCTCTCTTTTCTTCTCCTCTTCTCTCTTTGCTTCTTCTTTGCTTCTTCTCTTTTCTTTTTTTCTTTTCTTTTCTTTTTTCTTCTCTTTTCTTTTTTTATTCTTTTTTCTTTTTTTATTCTTTTTTCTTCTTCTTTTTTTCTTCTTTTTCTTTTCTTTTCTTTTTTCTTTTCTTCTTTTCTTTCTTCTTTCTTTTCTTTCTTCTTTTCTTTCTTCTTTTCTTTCTTCTTTTCTTCTTCTTTTCTTCTTCTTTTCTTTCTTCTTTTCTTCTTTTCTTTCTTTTCTTTCTTCTTTTCTTTCTTCTTCTTTTCTTCTTTTCTTTCTTCTTTTCTTTCTTTTCTTTCTTTTCTTTTTCTTCTTTTTTTTCTTCTTTTCTTCTTCTTTTTTTCTTTCTTTTTTTCTTTTTTTCTTTTCTTTTCTTTTCTTCTTTTCTTTCTTCTTTTTTTCTTTTCTTCTTTTCTTTCTTTTCTTTCTTTTCTTCTTCTTCTCTTTTCTTCTTCTCTTCTTCTCTTTTCTTCACTTCTTCTTCTCTTTTCTTCTTCACTCTTCTTCTTCACTCTTCTTCTTCTTCTTCACTCTTCTTCTTCTTCTTCACTCCTCTTCTTCTTCTTCACTCTTCTTTCTTTTCTCTTCTTCTTTCTTTTCTCTTCTTCTTTCTTTTCTCTTCTTCTTTCTTTTCTCTTCTTCTTCTTCTTTTCTCTTCTTCTTCTTCTTTTCTCTTCTTCTTCTTTCTTTTCTCTTCTTCTTCTTCTTTTCTCTTCTTCTTTTCTCTTCTTCTTTTCTCTTCTTCTTTTCTCTTCTTCTTTTCTTTTCTTCTTCTCTCTTCTTCTTTTCTTTTCTTCTCTCTTTTTCTTCTTCTCACTTCTTCTCACTTTTTCTTCTTTTCTTTTCTTTTTCTTCTGCTTGCATTCTTATTTCAACCATGATTAAATAATTCCTTTCACTGGATATTAAGTGCCAACAAGTCTTACTAATAATCCAAAACTTGATTATTCCAGATAATTTTAGTAATGCAGTTTTCTGAATTTTTTAGATATTTTTTCTTATTTTGAATTCTTAAACTCTTGTCACTCTCTTCGCGATTGTTCCAAGTCCCCAATTAATGCGATCCTCAACTTTTTGCCACTAATATCGAAACTTTACGTTGGTAATTAAATGCAAGCATTTTTTTTAATTGAAAAATTTCAGATATTAACTCTCCAACATATCGCTTTTTTAAGACATTAAAATATTGAAATCGTTATGTCAATTCTTTATGGATGTACACTTTTCATGGTTTTATATATCTTCCACCGCCTCCTGTGATGTTTAGAAGCGTTTAATATAACCTTAGAATACAAAGTTAAACAAAATTAAATGAATAAAAAATAACCTTCCGAAAAATCAGTATCCGTACAACACTTATCTTTCATTTTGAGGATGACTGCAGATATTTACAAAGGATGCTAAAGAGGGATTTTTTTCTTATTATACGAGAACGAGAATTCTGTTAATTCTTGTAATACACTGCACAGAGAAGGCTGCTGCTGTTTCATTCGAGTTTTTACAGGCAATTTTAAAATATATTCCACTTTAGAATATGTGACATTGATAGCAATTCATTTCAGCTATATATATATATATAATTTAATATATATATATATATATATATATATATATATATATATATATATGGGGGGCATTCGTTTATTAAAGGCCGAAGTTCTCGTTATACCTCCTTTATCATGAGATATAAATGCAATGGTTCATATATCGAGATGCTCTCATTCTTACATACATACAGTCATGTGTACAAAGTACTTGAGTATATAGAATTTTTTATATATATATATATATATATATATATATATATATATATATATATATATAAAGTTTGTTGTATACAGTGTGCGTGTTTTTGAACTTTCAATAGACACACAAATCCATTCTTATATATATAGATATATATATCATTAAACTCTGCTAAATCATTGTCATGCCAATGTAAAAAGCATCCGCCATCTTCTTAGAAACCCCATTTCATTGCAACCACGTTGATTTACTGATAAGAATTTTCTATTATTGTCTGGCTTTGTTCAGGCATGAAATTCTGACACGCTCTTTCCTCGTGGTGTACTTAAAGCCAGTCACATTGAATGGAATTTTAAAACCTTAGACACAAGAGAATTAAGTGTTTCATATCAGTCTTGTAATGAGGGTTGCGTTAGTGACCTTGTTGCTCCCTATGTTCTCCATAACACCATAATTAGGTGTGAAAGCGGGCAGATAACTCATGGGACATGACGCCATTCCGTTTAATAAAAACAAATCAATGTCGGCACGGGGTGATTGAGGGGGTCAAAGCCTTGAGGCTAACGACGAGAGAAAAGGGCACGGACAGCGTTTCCCAGTTACACTGGCGTTCAAATGAGTAAATATCTGCATAAAGATAGTTCTTGTGTTGCTAAGAACCAGTCGCTTTCAGAAAGTAGCAGGAGTCGTCAGCTAGACGACAACTGAGAAAGAAATAAAGTTTTGACAAATTTGGACTAATAAAAAAATTGGCTCTAAGGAAATATTTCGATGGACTTAACACCAAAACCGACTACGTCTCGTGATAAATTTGATGCAGGGAGAATAGAATTATTTTTCGATCATTATTGATATCTTCTTTGCTTCAGAATGGCATGGCAGATTAAATATATTCAGCATTAATCTAACTTACGTTCTTTGTGAGATCAGATACAGACATTATGATTAGCCTGTTTTACTTTTGCTTGACATTCAAGGCGTATCACTCGGGCTTGACATTCAAGGCGTATCACTCGGGCTTGACATTCAAGGCGTATCACTCGGGCTTGACATTCAAGGCGTATCACTCGGGCTTGACATTCAAGGCGTATCACTCGGGCTTGACATTCAAGGCGTATCACTCGGGCTTGATATTCAAGGCGTATCACAAGATTTGTCAGAAGCTATTTTGATGGACATTGTTTTTTTTTGTTTTTGTTTTTTTTGCTTTGTTTTTTTTTTTGTTTTTTGTTTTTTTTTTCGAATACAAACAGCGAAACTATAAAGAAATTGAAGTATGTTTAACAGAATTGTGGTTCTACAGATGTCTGCGGAGAACCCATGTACTGAACATGTGAATAACGATGAATCTTTATGCATAATGGAAACAAAAAAAGACACATTTAGAATCGGAGAGGCAATTGACACTTCTAGGGCACATGATGAAGGAAAGAGGGTTTGGAGAATTTGACACTCACACAACATTGAGGGTAAGAGGGATAGAGGAAAGCAGTAAGTAACCTATCTAATGTACTTGTGTAAATAGTTGACAGAACAGGGATTAGGAGGAGGTAGCAAAAAGACAAACTTGACTAAGCTACAAAGGACAGGAATTTATAGAAATTATTGATCGCTCACGTCCTGAAGAGACACGGCACATAGAAGTATTTTATAAACAAGCAGTGGAAAAGCTATTTTTCGCCAGTCAAATATTTAATCTAGAGCAATGTATATACCCAGATAAAGCCGCGTGTCTATAATGGCAGGAACCTAAAGATCTCCCGACCTATACTACTCAAAACAATCGGATTTTTTTATTAAGATTACCGTATTTTCCAGCCTACAAGACGTTGCTGCTTGGAAGACGCACCAAAATATTGAAAAGAAATTCCTTAGAAAAAAAGGTCATTTTCATACAACACATTCACCATGCGTCCCTCACATGCTGACGCCACGCATTGTTTACATTAATTTCTCGTTCAATTTTGTTTTTATGGCAATAACATACTAGTCAAGAGGAGAAAGGCTCCCGCTGCTGCTAGTAAATTGCATGTTTAAGCTTGTGGCTGGGCTCTAGAAAGTTTTATAGTCTTCGAAATACTTGTAACAACTAAGTACTGAAGTTACATCATATAAAAGTTTGAATTAGTGTAACATTATAGTGTAATGACTAAACATACAAATTTACGTCCCTATCAATCAAGCCAATTAGGTAACCGTCCAAGCTTACACAAGCCTGGGTGTTGCCTTATATTCGTCTTGGGATTTTTCAGGGTATCTTTTAGGAAAAAAAGTGCGTCTTGTAAGCCGGAAAATACTGCAATCAATATAATCGTAATTCACATAACCTGGTTTAGTCGTAGGGTCACTAAGTAGCTCCCTCTCTAGATCACTTTGAGTGATCTTCCAGGTCTATTTAGTGATGTTGTCAGCCAATTTTTGGCCCCTTTGTTTGTCTCCTCCTCTTTTACATCGTAGAATAACTGTAGAAAGACCTTTTATGTGCCGTGTCTCTTCAGGGCGTAGGCGATCATGGCTCTCTACTTCGCCCTGTCCCTTGTAGCTCTCAATAAGTTTTGTCTTTTTGTTATTTCTCCCAGACACTATTCTGCCATCCACTTGCAACGCGTGACATACTTAACGGGTTTCAACTCGCTAAGTGTGCCACGCGTTGCTTTCCCTTGTCCCTCTTTACCTCTATCCTCCCCGTGCGTATCAGATTTTCCAAGCCTTCTTTTCTCATTACGTGTCTCAGAAATTTCAGCTGCCTTATCTCTGTTAAGTATAAGTTTTCTCTTTGTTTGTATCCTCTTCAAAACCTCATCGATGCTCATATGTTCGGTCCATGGTATCCTTATCATCCTTCTGTAGAAACATACATCTGTAGCCTTGAGTCACTTCATCATGTTTCAGGAGATCGTCCAACATTCGCTACTGTAAAGGAGAATAGATATCACGTAGCAGTTCAGTAATCTTTTCTTTGTTACTAACGAATCCCTCCTGTCTCGTAATACTCTACCTATCTTCTGGAATGCAACCCAATACGTCTTTCTGAGTTGCACTTTCCGTCCTCTGTTAGAACACTTAACAGATAATTAAATTTCCGCACCTGCTTGATTTTAATGCCCCTGACCTGTAAATCGTACATCGGGCTCATCTTTTTGCTGATAACTATGCATTCTGTCTTCTTGTAGTTTATGATTAGTACCATCTTTTCGCTCTGCTTCGCTACCTTCTGTAGGAGGTTTTGTAGCTTCCTTTCCGTGTCTATTACCAGCACTGTGTCATCTGCGTATCATATGTTGTTATGATTGTGACCGCCAATGATGAACCCTGGTAGGATTTCCACTTCGCTCAGAATTGCCTTGTTGTTTGGTTCTTATGACTTGCTCATGCCATTTCAACTTCGTCTTCATGATAGTAATTACGAGATCATCCAAGACAAATAGCTAGTTTGCGAAATCGATACATATTTTAAAAAATCGATACACTGCTTCGCAGGAGTATAGAAAAACTATGACGACAGATAGTTACGTGTAAGTTTATGAAGGAATAAAATAAATAACGAAAATTGATCTATCGGCTCAATTGTTATTTTAACATGAAATGGTTTTGTTTCTTTCTTTCCCCCCCCCCCGGGAAATACTTGCCAGCCAAAATACTACTCCAGGCGTTAAAATCATATTTGACTTCTATAGAAACCTCACAAGCCATGGTTTAAATTAGTTACATGACTTATTATAGAAGGAATCTCTGGTACTTATAAGAATAAAAGGTCATGATGCACATATCTAGAAAACTCAATGTCTCAAAGGAGTAGAGAGCAGGCTTTTTACAGGAATCCCTCAATTAATGCCCGTTCGATTAGTGCGGGAAAAACATCTTCAGTTTAACCATAGTAATTGAAAATTAATTTGTTTATAATTACCGATATATTAAAAATTTCTGAAATGGAAAATAGGTAAATATTTTGTTCAAGTATTACGTTATATTAAGTAATAACAGTAATGTTTTAAAAAATGGACGGTTATAAATAGATGTTATAATATAAACCGATAATGAATATACATATTTGAATATTTGTCTCTATAAAAATTTTTTTAATATTTTTTTCATGTTTATTTTGAAGTTCTTATAAGAAATTTCTGATTTTTTTCTTT